TCTTGTTATATGGCGGCTAATCTCATCCTCTGCTATCCTGCACCTCATTGTCTCCCCAATTTGTGGACATTTTCAGCCTCTGTTCTTCTTTGAGTTAGCCACTAACAGCTACTTTTTTAAATCTCCCGCTGTGGGTCGCACTCATCCCGTCCTGCCAGCTGTCCCTTTTACACAGACATTGATTCGGTGCAATTACCACCTCTGCTCCCGGCTTAAAGGTGAGACAGCTCTGACCTCCCATTCTGCAATTGTGCCTTTTATAAATAACAGTAGGTGGAATAATGGGCAGGGTAAATGGGTCTTTTGCCTCTGCCTTAATGATCATTAACTAATCAGTTGAAAGCAGTCAGAAAGGCTGTTGAGTTGCTGCCTTGTTAAAAATGAAAACTGCTGGCTTAATAATAGCTGTATTATTTTAGTTAATATCTGTAACTGTTTATCCACAGGGGTACACACACACACACACAAAAAAAACCTGATGCATAATAAAAAAGACATCAGCCTCCTCTAATCAGAATTACAAGCACTACTACAAAGGCTGTATTAGTTTGAACGCCAATTAGCAGTATTTGTCAGCTATTAGAGCAGGTCAGCAAATCAACACTTTGATATGCGCTGAAGTCTTGAAAGCACCACGAGACCTCTTACAGAGCTCTTAGGAGCCTCTGTGCCCAGACTGCAGGTGCATCCGTCAGAGAAATAACAATTATTTAACATGTCAAGAGGAGCTGTCTCAGAAAATCGATTGAAATTAGATAATCAAACACCAGCAGTCACAACTGATGAGCAGGGTTTAATAAATCTACATAGAGACACTGATGTATTCTGGGTAATTCAACAATACTATAGGTTTGTATAGTGGGCATCAGTGTTTAACTTTATTCCTGAAAAGATGTTTTGTCATCAGTCTGTGATGGCAGGTGATCTAAATCAGTGGTTCCCAGCTGGTGGGTCATGATCCAAAGGTGGCTCGCAGGTTTATTCTGAATGGGCCGCAAATTATTTGCAAACATGTTTGTAAAAAACACACTTTATTTTGAAGTACAGTGAATTTCCAGCACAGAGCTTTTATTTTGAAGCGCTGTTTCCTGCTGTAGAGTGAGCAATTAACTGACAGCTACTTAACAGAGACAGCAAACTAGCTTGATGATATGGCCAAATGTGAGTATGACGCTGAATATATTGAATTGTGTGGACCTTAAACTAATGACTAAGGAGAAATCTGGACCCCGTGGCTGGACCAGTTGGTAAACAGTGATCTAAATACTATGTTTCCCATGAGCCTTAGCGCTATACTGCCACAGTAGGAAGGCTGCAACCAACAATTATTTTCATTATCAATATACCAGATAATACTGGGAGAAGCTAAACTTTAAGGGGCCTATGTTAGAGCTGGCGCAAAGCAGCACACAGCTCAACTGTCAATGCTAGTTTCGCACCAACGCAGTTGCTGTTTTGACGGACAGCACCCTCTGTTGTGTGAGTACACCCATCTGTGTGCCCATGGGCGTGTCGGTCATAAAATGAAGTGTGGTCAGGTGCAAGTGGTCAGAAGAAAGTGACAAAAACTTAAGTCAGAATGGTGCAGTATTTTATGGCTATTTAAAGGGCGCATTATTCGGATAGCCTACATAGACGGGTCCACAGTGCACATACACTCTGCTTGTTACACACTCAGGGAGGCGCAGGTGGGTTGGAGTAGGTCAAATAAAACCACATTCATGAGGAAAATAGTAATGACAATCTCTAAAATGTGAACATAGCAGAGAGCAGAGCAGAGCTGCTGTCCGACTCCCTATTAAGAGAGACACTGTGCACGTTTACGCAAGAGGGGCAGCGTAACTTCATTGATTATTTTAAGCTGAAAGTTAAGTTGTGTTTCCTCTGTCAAGTTTATAATTACAGTTTTTAGTTTGCACTAAAAAGTTCACTCAGATTATGCTCTGTTTAACTAGCAGAAGTGGTTGGACACGCCCTAAATGCACTTTCCTATTTAGTTTAAAGCTGTATTTAAATGATCCGTGACCTAGGTTGTGTGACTGTTGCCCGTAGTGTTGCATTTAGGAACAAAAAACAGCACCATAGTTGCCAAATAGAACCAAAATCCAAAAGTGAACTGATTTAAGTTGCTGAATGTTTCATGAACACAAACTTAACTTTCTGCTCGCCGTTAGCAACAAGGCAACTGAAGTTTAAACTCGGCAGTTGGATGTTTTATACCAAAGCACACCATGAAGACGTCTCACCTTACATTTTTATACACACTGGGGGTTACCTTTAAACTTTTATCAGAGAACCAGATATTTTGTAAAATGGTATCTCATCTTTCATACTGATGATTCAGCCAAGAGAGTTTGATGCAAATCTAAGCTTTTGAAGTGCTCCAAAAGATGGTAGCCTAACATTGTCTCTGCATGAAATGAATTCAATGAACAAGTGTTACCTCCTGAACCCTGGACTCCCAAAATAACTTCTCCCACCTCACACTTTACAGGCATTGACTAATAAGACACACTTTTGTAAGTGTTTACAGTGATTATTTGGTTACTTCAAAACATATGTACAATATGCTTACTGTAGAGGCTGGGCTCTGCTCGAAAGAACTTGTCTCTACCACATGTTGACTGACTTCATTGAAAGGCAACAGTGTGTACACCTGATCAAAACCCCGAGTTAAAATGAGGGGCGTGATGTGTTTATCTATGCATATAACAACACACGTTTTCAGGTAGTCTCACCTAGAAGGCATTCACACTAATATGTTGTCAAACCAACAACCATTACTACATTTACACCTAGCTTCCACACTACTCTGGTGTTTCCGAACCCCTGAAATGGAGACTTTTGAAGATGCCGCTGACCGTGTGTCAGTTTGAAACTCTGCAGCAAAATGTGTGTAGTGGACTGAAAAAGCAGTAGTTATTATTTTAGTAGGCTACCAAAATTTTATTTGTATTTGCAGTTTTATTAATATATATAATAAAACAATCAATACTCAACATCTGTGTATTGATTTATACATTTTTTTTTCTATTTGGTTACTGTTTAAATGTGTCATTTTTTTACCCCATGCCATTTGATATGTAGCCATATTTCCTTTGTAATGACTCCGAACCTGTTTTCCGCTGCCTTAGCCGCCTTTTACATGTCTTCAGTAGCAGTTCCACCTCGTCATTGGTCCAAGCAAAGTCTTACTTGCTGTTCCTCTTCCTTTGTATTTTTTGTAACTAAGCAACCAGCCACAGGCCAGACACTCTCTGCTTCCTGTTTACATCGGCACACGCATGCCCAGTTTACGTGAATGATCATGTACCATAGACTGTAAAAATGATGGATGTACTTACCATGACATCACCCACTGGTTTGTGGACTCTCATTTTGAAGCCTCACTTTGGCATTTCAGTTGTCACCATCTTGGTTTTTTGGGTATTTGGTATATTTGGGCGAGAGGCTGGAGCTGTGGATCTTACTGAGAGGTCAAGGACACTGTCAGCAGACAGCCTGTCACTCAAAGTGTCCCACCCTTATTTATGCTCAACTTAAAGCCTTAATGAAGAGTCTGTGGGTGAGTTATATAAAAATTCTCCCCCGTACAACTGTCATGAATGTTTAAATTGGCTCAAGAGACCAAAACTGTTTCTTGTACCAGGCTGTAAATGTGTTTATTCCTGCTGTAAAGTTGGGCATTTTAACATGGGGGTCTGCAGGGATTGGAGCCAGCATCACGTCACCGTTCCAAGAACTGCAGTTTTTCACAAAATGATAATGTATTGTATGTATGGCCCGAGTGTTGTGCTCAGTTGTACATTTCAAAACCTGCTCACTTTCTGACCTCTTCACACCTCATTAATCACAGTGTGAAGTGGGTGTGAATGTCAGATTGTTGCTTCCAGAAAGTAACCAAAATTGTCGGACACAGCTCCCATTTCTTTCACAGAATCAGATCAAACTTGCAGAAAGTTTGGAGACATATTCTTTTGAAGGATGAATATGAATTATTCGGGCAGTGACCTGTATTCTCAGCAGAGATCGTCTTTTTTTAGTTTCACAGCCCTTCGCAGGTGAGCCAAAAAGTTAATTTCGGACACTGCACAGATGCCTCGCTGTGCACGAGGCCCTTTGTGGGGCAGAAAGCGCTGACACACACCGAAGTGATCTATCAGTGTACAGCGACTCGCACTAGCTCATCACCTCGGTGGAGGAGGTAGCAGCGATCATACTGTCTTCTTCCCCTCAATCTGCTTTTTTCACTCACACTTCAGCCTCTCTGCCTCCTCTCCTCTAACCTTGTCTACCTCTTGGTTCCCTCTTCTCCTCTGGCACCCTCATAAATGAATCATCACATCGCCCAGCAGAGCAGAAATGTTCCTTAATTGCACCAACATAACTAGCGCTGTCTTTCACGTGTGCGCATATCAAACGCACACACTGTTAATGGGAGGCAGGGTGGGTGATGGGGGGGCCGCAGCTTGCGTGTCTCGCTGGTATGTGCCCTGTCAATGCAGCTCAGTGTTAAAAGCGTGTGTCCATGTCCTCTCTCCCCTCATTGTTTTCCTCCTCTCCCATGTTCTCCTGGTGTAATGATTTGGATCAGATGCTGCTGTGTGGAATTAGGATCTCCCCCTCTCCCTCCCTCCCTCCCGCTCGCTCCGTCTCTCACACTGGCCCTCTGGCTGACAGGCATCTCGTTAGTGCAGTATGTCTGTCAGTGAGGTTCGAGATTGAGCTGTGCCCCCGCATATCCCTGATGTCTCTCTCACACACACAAACACGCGCACACACACACACGCAGGCTGAGTTCTGAGTTGACGTCGGCTCTGAACAGGCAGCCTCTCTGGCCTCAGTAATGATCTGATGTCCTGTACTTTTAAGATGTCACTCTAATGGAAGCGTTATTTTTGTCCCGCGCACCAAAGAAGATCATTTTGTTTAACATTGTTATCTCCCTTGTTCCCTCCTCTTCTTCTCCCCCCCCTCTTATCGCCCCTCTTTTCTGTCAGGTGGAGTTCAAGATGAAGAAGACAGATGCCATCAGATGGGAGAAGCTGGAGGGAGAAGGACAGGAGTCCAACATCAAACACTTCAACCCTAGTCAGTCCACAGCTTCTGCATTTACACTCTCTCCCCCCAACTATCCTCCTGTCTCTGCTCTCATCTCTGTCTCCCTTACCCTCTTCTTATTTCTCTCTCCCTCTCTGCAAAGATCAATATAAGCTCCTGTGTTTGTCTGTTCTGCACTAAAATGAGTGGGCAGTCAAGCCCTGCTAGAGTCTTTCATTAGTCTGACGGCAAAAGTATACAGAGAGAGGCAAAGGTATGACAGCGAAATATGACTCAGTATTTTAGCCCACACATTCCCATTACTGACAGGATTAATTACTTATGTAAGTGTGTGTGTGTGCGGAAGGGGGAGTAAAAGTTAAGTGGGCAGCCAAACCATCTTTTTCCTGCAACCAGCTCAGCCTGTAGGACGCCCTGTTTATAAGTGCCTGCTTATAACTGGGGCTACTGTTACATTTAAACATGATATTTGACATCTGATTTCATGGGATCATGTTGCTGCATGTCCACACTTGGCCTGAATATGTCTACTGTGCGTCTGGTGCTGTATTTATGTAAATCTGCGTCTGGATTACATTCCCCGCTCTCCATCTCTTGTTGGGATTACAGTGGGCGTACTTCATTCTGAAAATATAGAAATCAAATCACAATGTGATCCGTCAGAGTCTGTGTCGGATGATCCGGGAGCAGAAATGAATTCAGTTAGTACATATTCGTGTGATGAGGTGATAAAAGTCAAGGTGATGAACGGCATTCAATTAAAATCTCACTGAAAAACATTTATGAACATTTGTACTGTTTCACATAAGCATTGAGCTGTTTGTTTCAGTGTGATTAAAGAGCTCTGCTTACCGTCTCTCCAAATGACTCTCAGCTGCTTCACCCTCCTCTACTCCACCTCTCCCTATCATAGGCCCATTGTTGTCTTTTTTAGGAGGGACTGGGGATCTGTAAGGGGAGAAAACAGCAACAGAATAGACTTAACTGCAGTGTTTATGTACAATAAAGTTGGGTAGAAAAACCTTGCCCAACATAGATTAAAATCAAACATCGCTGCCTCTGTTGCTTTGTCTTTAGACGGGTTGAGCGGAATACTCAGAATAAATGATTATCCGGTACAGATAATGTACTTTATAAGAATACGAGTACTGTATGGGTAAAATGTGTCAATATCTGTGCTCCTGATGAGGGGAAATCCTCATTTGGGTACCCGTGTTTAATGTCTTGATCAAAAATGACCTAAAGCTCAATTCCGAGATTGTTGTATGTGAATAGTTTTCTAATAATAATAAATATAACAACTTCTGATCAACCCATATCAATTTCAGGCTTATAATAACAACTTCAGATTAGGTCCCACCCACTTTCAATTTTAACTCCATCCACCTCTGATCTAAACTCTTCCTGTTTCCAGTACATATACAGATACAGATAACTTAGTTGGATAAACAGATACAGACACAGATACAGATAATGGTGTACTTGCTCATGCCTAGTTTTTAGCCATTAAAAATACGGCCCGCCAAAAAAATCAGAATCAGTGTAAGTGTATGCTCTATTTAGAATATTTTCAGTGCTTTACCACCAGAGCCATCAGACTCTGTTGACAAAAAGGGTCATTTTACTTAGACAGTGAAGCTGCTGGTCTACCGCTGCCTCTATTGGTCTTTAATTGTTACAGTTACAGCTTAAAATGACAACAGAATTAACAATATTGCCAATTTAACATATCCCCAAAATTGAAATAAATCTCCGGAAGTGATTGTTGTTGGTTGTGTGAGATCACAATGATTCAGTCTTCAGATCCCATAGAAGTGGTGTACTTCATCTGAGAGCTGGGAACCTGAACAATATTTTGAGATGCAGCTCAACTCAGTGTGTCAAGTTTTTCTAGTCATAGATGTGTAGTAAATGTGTTTTGGTCAGCGACGTCTTGTCAGACTTTTAAGTTTAGAGTGTGTAGGGGCTTAGAACATTATGATGGAACTATGTAATGTCCATTTACATGCTCAATTATGTCTCTTAAGTTGCAGCATGTTTTGGGTTGATACCATTTGTTACATACATTTGGCGCTAAAATTGAGCCTTTTCTACCATTTGAGAATTTATAAAAATGGTCGAAAATCCCTCCAAAATACCAAACTAAGACACCAAGACCTTGAGGACCACTGTAGAAAAATCCATGCTGTGATTTGATATCAAAAACCTTTGACATTTGAAGATTTCTGGAAGAACTTTTGGGCAATTGGATTGTGAGTGTTTCTTTTCTGAAAACTGGAAAAAATAAATACATAAAACCTTCATCTGTCCTCTGAATGCTCAAGGTCTCTTGTTTGTGACAATTAGTTTCTCGAGGCTGTGATTATCCTGGAGGTCACAATAAGTAAGTTTATACAATGAAGTCCCATTTTAAAACATGGCCTCGCTACTAATGAAACGGCTGCTATGGAGGATAACATCATCACCTATTAATACAGTTGGGCTCATTGAATCCTGAAGATGAATCCATTGAGTCTCAGCTTCCCATTCACTGTCAGTGTCTGCAATGCCAAGACTGTTTAGGGACTCCTGTACGCAGAAATATTCAAATACAATAGGTGAAAATAATACATTGTGAAAAAAGCTGCATGGTTTTTGCCCAAAACTTCATGGCACTGGCACAAAGTGGACATGTCTGCAAAGGGGAGACTCCTGGGTACCCACAGAACCCATTCAGGTATCTTGAGGTGAGAGGTTAATGGACCCCTGTGAAAATGGACATGCCCTTTTTTCCCTCGCCAAAATTTAGCCTAATTTCGGAGCTAGCATGACTTGCATTCTTTACGTCTTCTACTTTCATGTGATACCATCATCTTCAGTCTGGTTTTAGCCCACTACAGCCTTTGAAAGACAGTGCTGTCTGCTGAGAACGCCAACGTCCCTGTAGAGAGGAAGAGATTAAAATCCCTTTGACTTGGTCTGGACTAAAACTATTATAAACTGAAGCCTTTTTAACACAGTTTCACTTCTCCAGCAGATCAGTACCCGACATCGTCCCACCACTCCTGCAAATGGGACAAGATGGTGGTTGACATCAGCGAGGAGGAGAAAAATGAGAAGCTGGAGGGAGATGCAGCGCTCAATAAGCTCTTCCAGCAGATCTACAGCGATGGTTCAGATGAGGTCAAGCGAGCCATGAACAAGTCTTTTGTAAGTATCACGGTTGATGTATCTATTCACTAATCAGTGAGCCAGTTTCATTGATACGGATTGAAAACATCTGCTTATATCATCTGTAAGTCGGACATTATTTTTACATTCCCCAACCATGTTTGTGTCACAGTCAAACAGTGCTAGCGCTAGAAAGATAATAGCAAGTAGCTAAAAAAAGAAGATGACGATGTTTACTCCCGTCTCTGGAATAAATCAGAAGTTTGGAAATAATTTGGATTTCAGAGAAAAGACAGGTCAACGGAAAAAGCACATGCCGCATGTAGACAATACCATCACAAGATAAAACACAAGAAAAATAATGAACCTGGCTGATCATCTCACTCCGCTAACTTGTTGCTCTCGATTTTAAGTGCATGTTCTGTCAGGCGATGCAGTGACCTTAAACTAACTGAAAATAAGAGGAAGTATAAATTATACAGGTAATTTGTCAAGGTAAGAGTGGAGGAAAAGTCCACTTGCCTGCTAGGCTAATTTATGCAATGTAAAAAAGCTTAAGATAATAATGGTGACTGTCTGTGAACCCTAACAGTTGTGTGTGTGTTAGTGAAGACAGTTACAAGTAAACTTTACTGAACTTAACCAGTTAGTTAGTTATTAGTTATTAGTTAACTATTTATGTTTTTTCTTTTATTGCCAAAAGCAAAAATGAAAGGGGTGTCAGCTTTTTCTGTAACAACCTGTGTTAAATGGTCATATGAAATCATCTTATATCGATTGCAGGTCCCTGAATTGAATTAAGTCGGAATCGTATTCTGGTAGCAACTGTTGTATTGTTGTCCAAAGAATACATTATAATAATGGCATGTCATCGGTATCAGCCGATATTGGCTTTAAAATGAACTATCAGAATCGACCGACGTGCTTTTTCTTATTTTGCACATTGGATAAATATCACATACATTGAAAAGTATTGTATTTCATGTCTCTATCTGCTGGTGTGACGTCACGATAAGAGTATGCATGTATAATATGATGTCAGTTCTACTACAGAAGAGACTTGATGATCACTAAATGTGGGTGGGGAAAAATGGACGAATCGATATCTGTATGTTATATATGAGCATATTAGATATCGGCAAAAAATCCAGTATCGTGCATCCCTATTTAATATCATATCGTGTTATTGTTTTACACCTCTACTAAGAGCTATACTTTAGTGACAAGTCTTTTTTGCTTGTAATAACTTAAACCACAGTGCCACAGCAGCCAGCCGTATTTTGCGCACAATGATCCAGTGAGATTGAGCGCAGCAGCATGTTCCTCAGATGCATCTTCTCTTAATTAACAAATGAAATGCTTTCATAACAAAAATTTCCTATTTTTTCACTTTGATCTTTTTCTTGTAATTGTGGATGTTCTGACTACAGTCATGCTAACTTCCAAAGAAAGAATGAATGCTAACCCAGCTTGTTGTTTGATTAACCAACTACCTATTCATGTGGACTAACAAACATTTAATACTTAAAATTCATTTTGAGCTAAATGCTAACTTCAGCATGCTAATAACATTTGCTATGCTAATATGCTCACAAGGACAATGCTAACATGCTCATGCTAAGCAGGTGTAATCCATGCCATCATTACTATTGTAGCTCAGTGTATTAGCATGCTAAAATTGCTAAGTAGCACTAAACACAAAGTACAGCTGAGGCTGATGGTATCTGTTCATTAAGTGTCGGACACATTGAAATTTTGACCTGACCCGAGGTCATCCTGAAAGCGTGTCCTAACAGCAAGTGATTTACATTCTATCGTGCTGCATCGTTGTACATCCGACGCTCTGTCCGCAACGAATGCATTAAATATGCACTTCTGTTACTTCATGTAAACAAATGACGTACCTATCAGCTGTGCATTTGAGATCAGACTGGAGACATAACCACTCAAAAGACGGGTGAGTACTTGTTATCTTCCCACATTTTCACTATATTGGGATATTTACTGGAAATGACAAACAATGGAGCCGACAGACATTTAACAAAAACTTTCAGCTCCATGGCGATCTCCCTCCAGCCAGCTGCCACCTTATTTTGGTTTTTGTGGTGAAATGAGAAGGTGTTGTGTAGATAACTCCTCATTTTAAAGTCATGAATCAGCTGTGATAATTAGATGGGGCAATAAACAGAAACAGGGCGTCCGAAAGACTCGCTCTCAACCGGTTTGGACATTTCCAGTCGAAAACAATGCACTCACAAAACAATGTCGCTCTCACTTGCTGGCGCTGCACTCACTAAGGACACATTTGAGGGGGGCACCAGTGTGTAAACCATTTCTCATGGCAGTCCATCCAATTGTTGTGAAGATGTTTCACCCAAAACCATAAATATCAACCTCATGGGCACACTAGAACAAAAGGCAGAAGATCAGTTAAGTCACTAGGCTCCATCCTCCATCCAGAAGTTGTTGAGATATTTCAGTCTGAACCACAGTGATGGACTGTCTGTGCCGTTAGCGTGGCTAAAAATGCTCTGAAAGGCTTCAGTTGTTTTGTGGAAGTTGTGAACACTTGCTCACTTTATGGAGGGATGGAATCCAACGCAGGTAGTGTGGACTGATTATCTAGTTAATGAGCTTCCGTGAGAGTGTATTTATGCACACTGAAGGATGAGAGTATAATGATTGCAACGAAATGTTGATTGATGATTGGGATGAATCAACATTGTGTGTTACTAGCAATGTGAGCTCATGATGCTCGAGTACAACAGTTCACTAGATAAATGATTTTGTTGTTGTTTCCAACATACAACCTAAATCTGATGGTGTTTTAACATTCATGTCATTTATGCATTTGGTTTAAACAACCCAGAACAGAAGGCTAGAGAATAAGGACAGTCCACACCTACTCGGGGGTATTTGAAAACATAGCTTTTTTCTATACGTCCTTTTGTCCGCATGCAAACTGCATTTTTACGTCACTTATTTCTTCTGTGAGGTGACATTTTGTTCAGTGGTCCAAGCTATCAGGACTAAGTTAACATGTTTTCACGTAGATGTACAGTTAAGGCCTTTGCACTCTAAGTCTGTTTTTTTTTGTTGTTGTTGTTGTTGTTGTTTTTTTTTCATCCAAACTTTTTGCGCACTTAAAAATAAAAACGACCTTGTTGTGTTGACACAACATTGACTCCCAAACATTCTTCCATCGTTAAAATTTTCAGAATGGGTTCAACTTTTTGCATTTTTTCACTTCCATCAAAAGCTGTTGGAGAGTTATTTGACTAAGGTGCTTTCACACCTGCCCCATTGGGTTCGGTTCAATGGAACTCAAGTTTGTTTGCCCCCTAAATGCGGTTCCTCTGGGCAGGTGTGAACACAGCAATCGCACACGGGTGCGCACCAAAACAACCGGAGCGAGACCTACCAACTTGCTCATTGCCTTTTTTCCCATGTTTTTGAAAGAAATGGCACCAAGTTGCTCAAGGTTCAAAGGTTTAGATACTTGCAAAAGGCGTCTGAAAGCAGCACAAGAAAAAAGATTTCGCTCCAGGTTTCATAGGGTTAACAGCGCAGCAATTGAAGAACCCAGAAAGAACCTTTTTTTAGATAAACGCCGGTATGTGTGGACTATACCTGAAGTTCAGTTCCTATGGAAATCAGAATTCTTTTACTTTAATATGAAATAATAAAAACAATCAAAATCAAAACCTCTTAAATCAATGACACTGTCTTTTTAGCCTTATTAAGCAGAGAGTAGGTGTTGCGTAACTACAGCACTGTCTGTCCTCCCTGTGCAGATGGAGTCCGGTGGTACAGTCCTGAGCACCAACTGGATAGATGTGGGCAAGAGAAGAGTGGAGATGAACCCACCAGACGACGTAGAGTTCAAGAAGTACTGAGCAACTCTTTCTTTCTCTCTCCTTCCTCTGTTTGACATCATCTCTCTGCACATTTGTCCATCTCAACTCCAACAGGAGTCCTCGATGCCCTGCAGGCTCCGCGGTTGTCCACTTCCTCCACTTCCCAGCCCCTCAGTTGTGCTGTTGCTTCTATTTTCACCAAGTGCAGGGAGCCTCAGCGTTCCCACTTTCATTCGACCAAACCACTCACGGCCCACTCTCGGCAATAACTCACTACCACATTAATTTGAAAAATCTGTTGAACAGATTGATGCACATTATCTGATTTTTACAGGCCAAAGGACTCAAAGGGAAGTTTGGATTAAAAAAAAGACTGACAGACCTGAAATGCTCCAAATCAACTTTAATGCTTCTTCTCTGTCCTCTGCCTCTCCTGATTTTCTCTCAAATGCCCACAGCCTTCGTATTCTGGAGCCTTTTATGACTTATTATCAATACTTGTATAAAATTGTAAAGTTGTGAAAAAGAAGAAGCAGGTGAGAAATGTTTAAATGATATCTATGATTACATTTCTTGGCTTATGCATTTTTTTCTGTACACAGTAAAAAGTCAACAGCAATACTCTGCAAACTGACTTGTCTGGGATGCGTGTGACATGTCAGCCAGTGGCTTAGCACAGGTCGTTCCCTCAGTGTGATTCAAGCTTCAGTGTAAATAAAAGATTTGTTGTTTGGCTCACAAACTTTGCCTCGTGTTTTACGGCTTGTTGTCTCTGGAAACTGTTTTGGACAGGTTGGAGAGTCGAGGAAGGGATCCACCAGATGCAGAAACAGCAGTATATTATGACAGAGAGCCGTGCTCTGTGATTATGTGCTGGGGGGAATGAAATGTGGCATCACTGATACGAGCGCAGGCAGTTCAGATACGGCTGACAGCTTGAGGATGTGGTTTACGTATCTTGGTTCGATTGGTATCGAGACGGAGAGCCTCGAGTTGTTTGGCCAGCAGGCGAGGATTCAGCCCCACGGTGGAGTGGTGATTTACAGTCGGAGATGCCGGAGAGCAGCCACCTTCCCAGCTCTCCAACCACATATATGCGGCAGCTGTAACAGTGAGGGGGCGTCCTGCCGCGGCAAGAGAGCATTAATATGGATCAGCTTCCTAACCGCATCATCAAGCCTCTCACACTGAGTTAAGTGTTAAATTCATCACACATCGTTTCATCTCTCGTGACGATCAAACGCCCGTTTGTGGCTCTGGATGGAACTCTGAGCTTCATAACACACACACACACACACACACACACACTCCTCCACTATCCCTGACACACACACACAAACACACCGCCCCCATCCTTACCCCCTACCCCCGCCTGAGGCGGCTCTGTGACATCAAAAGGAGCTAAGCGCTTTGCATCGTGGGTAAGATCTGGGAGCGTGACGGCTACAGAGTCTTTAGTCTCATTAAAGAGTTCTAGAGCTGCAACTCTCACATTAAAGAACTCTGGAAACTTCATTCTGCTCATCCCTTTGGAGCAGCTAGCAGATGTGACACATCTCAAAACTGAAAACTGTCTTTGAGTGTGAATGAGAGAGAAAGAGGGGCTGTTCCCAGATAAACCAAATAAGCAACATGTATTTACAAACAGGATATAAAGTCATCAGGTCAGTGACACAAAAAGGAGGGGTGACACTTTAAAGTTACTTAAAAAAGTTTATTCAGTGATATTGCACTTTGAGAGAGCTTCTTCAACGCAGATGAAAGTACATCTAGATGAAAGATTGTGAGAGAGTGCGCATACAGTACATTGTTTTAATGAGAGCTACTTGTGGAGATAAAATAGGAAAAGTAAAGAGTTAAAACACAGGAGTCAAAAATATTTCTCACTAGAGTGATGACAAGTGAAACAAACAGCAGGTGCTATTTAAGCCAGCTACTGAAATATGTTGCACCCTATACATTTATTTACATCAACAAGCAAAGAATGAAAGACAAGAAAAACCAGCTCTATAAATACAAGCGTACCTGCTTTTCCTACAGATAAATAGGTGGCGTTCTACATGTTTGAAATCAATGCAGGTGGAAACAGGTGTGTTGATATGGGTGTAGCGTATCATAACCTCTGTGCTGTAGTTCAGAAGGATCTAAATCCATAGCAGGTATGTTTTATTAATAAGACAAGCTGTGCAGTGTGCAGCCACTGCGTACCTTTACATGTGAGAACATGTCTGTCCTAGATTCTGTACCATGCATTTCTAATGTGTGGGCACACACCGACGCCGTTCATTTCGTACGAATCTGCTCAGACCCATAGTTAACTACAGTCTGTGACAATAAGAAGCCACCGTTTTCCTTCCCTAAAACTTTCCCTTCACCTCCCCTTCTTCTTTTCAACCCTGTCCCTCCCTAGTTTCTCCCCCTCCATCTCCCCCTGCTGAGCAGGGGTGTTTACACCAGACCCAGAATGCGCGCCACCCACCAGTTGCAGGGCATGATAACTCTACAAACCACCCTGCATCCCCGGTAGTGGTATGGCCAGGGGTGGTACCCTCCCAGCGGCTCGCAGATCCTCTGGCAGTGGGTGTAGCTGCGGCGGCACTCGTTGCAGCAAACACCCTGGTGGTCCAGCATGGGGTCGATGTTCATGTTGCCCTGCTCACCCTCCAGGCCTCTCTGAGAGGAGACAGATAGGACAGTGGTCAGTGTGCACAGTGTTTGTGTGGCGTTCTGTTAAGTGATTGTAAGGAAGGAAATGGGGTTGTCCCCAAAAAATGGGATTTGAATCATCAGTTGGAGACCCCTCATTCAAGTGAGGTTGCTTTAAGTCTAGGTTTTTTTTGTTTTTTTGTTTTTTTTGCCAATATGTGTGGCGTTTTAGTCCCCAGATTCTGCTGCAGTGTAAGCACTCTTCAGGTTCAGGTAGCTGCATATGCAGAGGCAGCTGCCCAGAGGAGGAGAAGCTTTGCCCCGTCAGGCTCCGAGATAATGTTACCTTCTGCCTTCTGCTTAGAAGTGGTGAGTTTACAGCTCACAGAAACATAATACGATTCAGTCTCTGGCTTTTGTTTGATATCTAGTGTCGGCAAAAAATGTTTTGCACATTACCGATATATCATTAGCACAGTTAGCTTGTTTACTATATAGCATGAATGTCACCATGACACTAAAGGTTCCAACTCTCAAACTCTATGAAGAGTTGAATATTTGTATTGAACAGTCAAATCTGATTCAGCTGGCATAATTTGGAGTCAGAGCCCTAGAACAAAACATTTACTGGAAAAAAGCCTACTCAACTTAAGGCGAGACTTGTGGGTACCTGTAGGTATCTTGAGGTTAGAGTTCAAGGGACGTCTTTCAAAATCGGCATGCCAGGTTTTCCTTTGTCAAAATTTAGTCGAACTGAGGAGTTTATTTAACCTCTTTCCCAACAAGATAGCATGACATGGTTGGTACCAATCGATGCCTTAAGTCCCTTCTCATGGGACAAAAAACCCACAATCACCCACTAATATCGTCTTTTTATATACAGTGGGAAAGGTTGTGATCAGCATTCACTCGCGTGTCCAATGACTCTGCAGTAGTCACAGGTATTTATCGGCTCTGGCTCCCATCGGTTCTGATCTGCAGTGATGGAAATACGACATCTGGGTGAACACGCTAATTTAAGCCCCTTGGCCAGTTTGATGTAATGGCAGACTGTCCCAAAATACTGCTAGTCTCTGTCCAAGCAGCACTCGAACATTGTCCCAAATTTAGTCAGCACTGACTCTGAAAGAGAGACTGAACAAGTGTGAGGTATAAAAGAGAACTACCATAACATTTTCACTGGCCTCCATGCTGCTTTCACTGTTAGTCACAGGTATTTGTCAGCTTTGATCAGCTCTGATTGGCAGTGATTGAAACCCAGGTAGTTACGCTTATTATAACCCCTTTACCAATGAATCCAGTAGCGTTGTTAATGTGTTGTGACCCCTTGGTGGTCAGGGTTAGGGTTAAGGGTTTGGGTAAGCCTTGGAAAGGGGGAAAGGCATATCGACGGGGAAACAGACTTTGACACAACTCCGGTGTGATGCAAGGACAAGCCACCACAAAATAACTTCTATCTCCATCCAAGCAGTGCTCAAACATCGTTTCAAATTGACTGAATAAGTAAGAGACATATGAAAAGACATAGCATTTTTACCGGCCTCCATGTTGCTTTCTGCTGTTTAATAACCTTTTTTCTGGCCCAACGGTGGCAATGGTAAAGGAGTCTTGCCTTTTTCTAGCAGGTGTACCAGTGTATAAAAAAATCTGCACACGTGTTAATTTTGATGAAGAAAGGTTAGAAGGTTGTCTAGTTTCACAAGATACTGCTACCTTCGCTTGCTTAAAAGATCAACACATTCTCACTCCAACCTCGTCACATATCGACGTTTGGTCATGGACTTTCCGCGTCTGATATGACGTGAACGGTACCCTGGGTGTGTCAAGTTCTGCCTGTTACATGTATTGTCTTCTTTCAAAATACACTTCAGTTTCCACGGGAAATTTACCGTTTACATACTCTTTCAAAGTATATGCACTACGTCAGTAAAACACTGTAAATTGACCTTTTTTTCCCTTCAACAACAAACGCACGTGGTTGGGTTTAGGAAAAAATGGCAGGGTTTGGCTTTACAATCATATGGGACACGAACACCGCTCTCCCAGGTGAAAGTCCGTTTTTATTGGACCCACCCACCTTACTTGGACTTTTGCCACATTAACGCTTGTTCTTGTCCTGCCACATTTCCCCCTGATGCTGCTAAGTGGTGTTAACTGTAACAGTGACCGGCCGTGTATCATGTCAGTGTTGAAGGACGTCTTTTTTCGTCAGTGTCTGACGCCACAAGTCACTGCCCAAGCACCGGATTTTGACAACTTCGGAGTGAGACTGGGTTGACAAAGTGAGCACACCACAGCTTCTTAAAGGCAGTAATGTCAGCCTCCACTTATTGTCACCACGGGGGGGAAGTGTGGGGTGTATCAGGATGGCCATGACATCCCATGGCCCCTCTTGGAAGTGCCTCTGATTCTGCCGTATGATACTGAAGCAGCAGAGAAGACTCGTTTTCAAACCAATTAAAAATGGATTTCCGACAGGCGGGATGGGGAGGAGGGGATGTTGTCAGATGTTGGTTTTTGTTGTCAAATATTTTCTTTTTCAATGCAGTGCTTGCTGTGTACCCCCCTCTGTGGTTGTCAGGAGTGTGTAGCAGGGGTTGGGGGATGCTTAGAGAGGGAAGGCGGGGGAATTAGGGAAAATGGGGCCCAACATGAGGGGTGAGGATGGAGGGCACGGGGGTGTGTATGTATGGGAGTCTGTGTGCTCAGCAGGGCAAAGAGGCCACCGCACAGGGAGGGGGGGTGGATTGTGTGGAATTATTCATACAGCCTGAAAGGAAAGCTTTGGACAGGCTCTCATAGAAAACCCATGCACAGAAAACACACCCACGCATACACTCAGATCTGCAGTGACAATCCGGGCCCCTCCGCCATGACCCCAGCATCTGCTGCTGCTCGCACAGCTGCGAGAAACACTCCTCCTCCTCAGGTATCCCTCAGATCTGAACGGACAGTCGCAAATGCTGCGGCGGGACGTGGTGAAGAAGAAGAAGAAGAAGAAGAGTGTGTGAGTTTGTCTGTGTGACTCACGTGATAAGGGTTCTCTGGGTTGAACTCTGCCTCCACGTCCTCTTCCTCCTCCCCGGCTCCGGGCCCGGCCTCGGCTGCTTGGCGGCGCTGGCGGGTGGGGGCGGCCCTCCTCTTCCTCTGTCCGCCTGCACACATCACAGCCTCAGTATTTGACAGCAGACCAAATTTAGGAGTGGAGTGGCACTAATGTGGCACAGCTCCCGATTGCACAGCCGTTTCTCTGGCAGCGTTTTAGAAGTCCTCAGATGTAGTAGAATAAAATTGTGTTTTGAGAACTTTTGACCCCCCAGCACGCTAAAAATTGTACACTCAATCGCTCTGAAACTTCAAAAGGACTTCTGCTTTTCTTTTAAGCTTGTTTTTCTTTCTATGGCTTAAACAACTGCGATGTTAAATGGAAATTCTAGAGACCGTTTGACCCATATCCTCTTTGTTTTGTGGGGGGAAGAAAAACCTCACACAGCCTTGAAAAATGAGTGTTTTACTTTCACTTGTCTTTGGATTTTTCTATCTTTACCATGAGCTGATTGCTTACTGGTTGAGTAGGTGGGACGGAGCCAGAAGATTGGCAGCTCTCCACACAAGTCCTTTATCTTGTTGCTGAGGAAGGCGGAGTCTGAGAGGGGAGTGTCAGCCGCCACCCAGATCAGGTCGTCCTCAAATTTGGCCGGCATCACCTCGTCCTCCTTTAGATGACAAAAAAGAGCTGATGCAATCACAACAAAGCATCTGGAGACATCTCACGCTGCTGAAGGCGTAATATCACACTTGATTATGGATCTTGTTACTAGCCTTCCCTTTTAAATAGCCCATAGTCTCTGCATCTTGTCCGAGTCTAATCTGCATTAATGCCGTGCTGTTAATGCTCCTTAAAACAACATAAAATCAAGTTGTAAAAAGGAAGCCCTTGAGGCTTGAGTATACAGATTTCCTTTGCTCTAACATTTAGCTGTACACTCAGTGTCAGGACTCATCAAGATCTGAAGGGAGGAAGAGATTGGATGGCCTAAATTTGCAGGTTTCTGCAGATAAACTAATGAGGTTTCCAGACTGTGTAAACATATATCCTGTGTATCCACAGCCTGCAGGTAAAAAAAAAAGAGGGAATTCTGTAGGGATGATTTTGCCCGGCGGCATTTGTTCCTGAGGGCTGCGGCGCACTAGCCACAGCCATGTTTAGGGAACGTTATCCTCCAACCTTTCAGAAATGCTGTTTTTTTTCCCCAGCTCAAATGATTTGCTGGAGGGACAAATAAAAGCGGGGGTCCTTCTCCACTGCTCCACTGATAAGAGTTTATCTGACCCACTCTCTCTGGATGGCGACGCATATGTGTGTGTGTGCGCGCTTATCTAACCCATATTTGCCATCACTCTAAATTATAGCAAATGACCAGCCTGCAGCAACCATTACAACAACATCTCCCTGTCTACACACACACACACTTATACACACACACACGCAAATGTGAGCCAAACGATCATTTATGAGGCAAAGAGAGGCAATAACACAAACACACACAAAAGCACAAACGTGAAATAAATGATCTGTTATGAGGCAGAGAGAGGCAATAAGAGCAGCCCTGCGTGATAATTAATTTTGTGTGTGTGTGTGTGTGTGTATGCGTGTGCGCGATCATGAGGGTAATTCTGGTGATGTGGATTTATGTGGATGTGAGGCTTATGCAGAGCTAAATGATTTTAATTATCAGACAGCCTCAATTGAACAATCACAGGCGGTGGTGTTGGTGTGTTGTGACAACAATACACACACACACACACACACACACACACACACATCAGTCCACCAAGTTGTTACAATGTGGGAACCCACATAAAAATCACCCGTGTGTTCCTGGTTTATCATTGGCTTGGGTGATTCATGCTAATACCTCAGCATACGCCGGCTTTAGATCAGAGGAGGGAAAATGGTGGGTAAACTGTTTATAAGTTGTAGCTACTGCCTTTAAATGGGCTTTTTAAAGATTTATTTATTAAAGATTTATCAGTAATAAGACAGTTTTAAGAATAATGTTTGGGTTGCCATGTTTGAAATATCCCCTGATGTATATCCTCAAAACATTCTCATTCCCAACTCCTCAAATACTGGAGCTCAGTGGCCCTACGTGTCCGACTAGGACACTGTCAGTTCTGGACGTGCCAGGAACAGCGTGTCAGTTTCTGCTTGTTACATGAATTTAGTCTTTTCAAAATAAACTGTGAACATAGGGTATAGTTAATATTTAGATTTTCTTCATTAGGCTTATGCCGGCTTTACACCAAACAACTTTTCAAGCGATTTCACTGTCTACTTAAAGGTCCAGTGTGTAGGATTTTGGGGGATATATTGACAGAAATGGAATATAATATAATGAGTATGTTTTCTTTAGTTTATTATCCCCTGACAATAAGAATCATTGTGTTGTCATCATTGTCTTCGAATGAGCTGTTTATCGCTACATAGGGAGCGACTCCTTTTCTACAGGGATCGTCGTGTTGCACCGCCATGTTTCTACAGTAACCCTGAACGCACAAGACTGGCTCTAGATAGGGACATTCGCGTTTTTGCGTCGACCACCATAGTTGAAAGCTGCTCTGCAACAAGAGCGTCAAAAAAAAGTGATTTGTAAAGTGATACTGCTTTTTTCAGTGTTTTTACTGGTTTTTAACACTTGTATGTTTGTTCTGGAGAGGAGGAGACCTCTGTGGATGATTTGGCTCCTGGTAAAAACCTCCTGAACAATGAACACTGAAGGAATTCTAACCAGTTTCAGCTGGTTACAATCTGTAATCGTCATTGCTAGACGCCATTAAATCTCCCTAAATCTTAAACATGGTTCCTTTAAGTCTCTTTCTCGTTGACGTTTCGACAAAAAATCAAACATGTTTAATATTAGGGTAAGTTTTTAGTCTTGGTTTGTGCAAAGACCAAAGTTAAATGATGTGAATGTTGTCAACAGCCAATAGTTATGCTCTCTAAAATTAGGGACCATATCATCTCGTTCACGATAATACCGGTATAATTTTTCATATGATATAAAAAATTCATATCGTGATACTCACGATATGTCGACTTGTTGACATATTGACATCATACTGTTACCCACGGCAACAAAAAAATTCCCTGGAAATCCAGAGTTCTCACGAGAGCACAATTTGAATTTGCTTAGTGAGTCACTCTGGCAATCAGTAATGATGCTCATTACCCATGTCCTTGGAACCAAGCTGCACCAATCACCAGCCAGAGGCGAGCTAAACAGATGACGACCGTGCTGCAACGACGAAGTCCAGAATCAGTCAGTAAACATTGCAAAATGGCTACGGATGAACACTAGTTGTTTGAAACGGCTTTGGCCGCTACAATGAACGAGTTAGACTTGGCTTTTTCTCTAAAAGATGAACATAAGACGGCGCTCTAGTCTTTCCTTTGCAAGAAGGATATTTTTGCTGTTTTGCCGACCGGATACAGCAAGAGTCTAATCTACCAGTTAGCTCCGCTGGTAGCTAAGCGTATACGTCACCCCATGTATTGTTCTGATTGGTCGTAGTGTTATCCAGTTGCGTGCAGTGATATCTACAAATGCATGCTTGGTGCCGCCCCTTTGCATTACTCATAGCCAGACCCTAAATCTTTCTACATTTGGGTCTGGATTTCCAGGCTAACAACAAAGATGGGCGAAATTATGAAATTATTACTGACACCACGGTGGTTCCAAAAAGAGGAGCAGCTTCAGTAGTGTGGAATAAACTGTGGCGTCCTGAATGTTTTATGAACAGCCCCGGACTTCTCAGACTTTTAGTGACTTACTGCTCAGACGAAACTCATTCAGCGGCTCCTCTGGCAGCAGCACAGCATCTCTCCTTCTCCTCTCTCGCCGTGAGCACACAGGAGTCAGTGTCGTCAAGTGATTTTGTCATAAGCCTTTGGTAATGTAAACCTACGTTACTCTCGCGGCTCGACAAAAAACTACATATATGTGACTGTGTGATATTTGTGGTATCATAACAGCCTGTCACAGGTTACAGTGTGATGATTAGAGGTGAAATGGCAGAGCATAAAGGTCCAGGTGGAAAAAACAACAACTCAGTCATTTAGGACAGGACCAACCCACCAGGTCAAATGTCATCGAGTCCTTGTTGAGAGTCTCCACGTCAGGCAGTCGAGCCTTCACTTGGGTCTTTATGTAGCACTTCTCTCCTCCTGAAAACCGGATCCCTGTGATCCCCTGGAGAGGTCGGGAAGACATAAAATACTGGAGGTTAGAACTCAGTGCTGCTCCAGGTGTTGTCCTCAGCACTCTGGAGGTATCTGGGACTATAGGTGTGAACATCAAATGTAATATCGCGGCTGATTCTGAAGACATTTCTGGGCGACGCTGCTGCCTTATGTTCTAGATTTTAAAAATTACACTCACGGGGACACTGTGATTAAAGGTCAAAATTTTAATAGTTAAAAGGCCAAAACTGCTGCTTCAGTAGTCTGATTGGCCTGATTGGGGTGCAATAATTAAAGGTCAAAAACCACCAGTCTGCGTTTAATGAAAATTGGAGGGACGATGCATCTTGACACTGATTGGCCCAAAGCAAGATAAGATGTCTGCAGCTAGCCAATCTCCCACAAGGGTCTTTAAAGTTCCAACAAATCTGATTGACTTGTTCTGAATGGCGATGATCAGTGTGTCGACGAGATTCGCCAGAACCATCCTGATGTTTTACATTATTACATTCAACTCACAATCTCAAAGTCGTGGACCTCCACGGCCTCGTCGGCCCCGCTGCCCATGCTGAATCTCTCCATGTTGTTGGCCGAGTCGATCTCCATTGTACCCTCCTCCACTTTGCCGTTGATGCTCATGCTGTATTGGACATTGTAGACCTGCAACCATACACGCACACACACACAGTTTCAGAGTGGCATGTAAGGTATGAGAACCCTGAGAGTCACCCCACCCCCCGGCCTCCTCTCTTTCAACACTCCTCCTCACCCTCCCTCTCCAATCTCACACATACAGCCTCTCTTTTCTGGATTTCTCTTTCAGACACACACTTTGATTCAAACTTGATCACAAGAACACAATCTGTACAGCTCCAGGTGACGATGACCCCTCTACACAGCCGTTTCATCACGTCTTAATGGCATTTTCTAACTTTATATTGGAAAAAAAAACACTCAGAAAGCTGCTTTTACCCTCTCGTCTCCTCCACCTCTTGCCCCTGGAGCATCAGCCGGACCAAACAGCCCCCACACCCACCCTCCTCCACCCCTCTGCACCCTGCCAGGATCCTCCAACACACACCACACACACAACGCCTCCATTCACCAAGCAGACTGCACCATGGAACTGGGTGTTTAATTTACATTTTACTTCTTGCTTACACTGCAAAAAAAAAACCCATCTTGGAGAAACTACTTTACTCTGGAGTCTCCTTTAAATTCAAAAAAGTTAAAAATGGTACAACTAAACAGTTTGTTTGAAGGATTTCTTCATTAATATAAGCGGGTGCAAGTGTGTTTTCTGCTGCAGCAGTGACGCTCATGTTGGAAAAGTTGTGCAAGTAAAGTTAAACAAAAAAAATATATATGTATATGTATATATTGAGCAGATCAGCCTGCATTAGATTTGATTTTTGATTGAAAGGTGCTAAGGGACTGTACGGAAGTTATTGTTGTAGTTGAGCAGGGCTGTGTTATTAGTTTATTTACCCAATATACAACCCAGCTGGCACACAACCGACCTTCAGACTATGTCAGTTGTATTCTGATGGTTGTAGAAAGGTTAACAACCCTCTTATAAATCAGCTCTGTTTCAGCGTTGAATCAACTTTGAAGCAATTACAGTTCACGAAACAACACTGCAAAATCAAGCTGATTCATCTTTCACAATCAAAACATAATTCACCAGAGATTCAGCCGTGGTGTACGACGTTGATTCAGCTGTTGAACATTAGAAAGACAGTTTTTACAGTGCAAGAGAGGAAGCAAGCCTGAAAGCCTCATTTAGAGTCTTCCTCTATTTAAATACATTTTTAAAAAGGACATTATTACTCATCAAAAACAACACAAGCAAACAACAAAGAACATATAGCACAAAATCTATATGCCTTCAAAAACAGACAGAAAAACAATTCTATAAAAAGTAGATGCACATGTACAACCAACAGAAGCATCTCGGCATAAGATTCAAGATGAAATGAGAAACTGTGTCCTGAAACCTTATCTTTGACTTTCTAAAAAAAAAAAAAGTAAGGCCTTCCTTGATGTTATTGTTTCCTGTGAATAATTTATTAGCAATATCTTGACAGAACTTGTCTGACTCAGTGTCAGAACTGTTCTCCTCTGCATGTGGCACCTTTATGAACCAAGTGACTGTTGACTTTTTGATGTAACCGTAGCTGTTAATATTGCAAAAGAAGGCTGAAAGAAAATCTAAACTTAGGATGAGATTAAACTAAAAACACCCTCCACGGTTCTCCCCCCAAAAAGTGCAGCCTATCTTCAGCTGTACTGTTTTGGTTGTATGGTTAATGTCATTGTTTCATTAACAGTGCTTATATCTTGTTTTTGCTCATGTGCCTTACTATGTGCATTTGTCTGTGGTTATTTTTGCTCTGTGCTTATATGCCTTTCAATCTACCCTTCAATAAATATAAAGAGAAATGACGGCCTCTCCTCCCTCCGTGATAATTTACGCACAGTCCCTAAAGAAAACTTTTTTTGCCGTGTAAGTAAAAGAAACAGTAAAATATTTGTCCTACGTGTTTCTCGTTGTTGTTCCAGAAGTAGAAAGCTCCGACTGCCCCCAGCAGCAGCAGCAGGGCCCCGGCGATGAGCACCGCGATCCCGGCCTTCAGGAGGCGGCCGGTGGCGGCGGGCTTCACGGCCACAGCGGAGTAGGCCTGCACGGTAAAACAAACATACCCCCCAAAAAACATGACAACATGTCCATGAACACAACTTCACACTGGAGTGGGTTGTAGGCCAATAACGGAGGTGGCCTCTGACTGGCATCCACAGACCGTGTTTTATGATATTGATCTCCATATTGATCTTTATGAAAACTCACCGGGGGCATGAAGTGCTGCAGGTCCTCCGGTCCCGCCGAGGCGATCGGTACTTTCTCTGAGCTCCCGGCCATGACTGGAGCCAAACACCTGAGGGAACCCCAGTCAGTCCACTAACTCCTCTCCCTCCCTCCTGAGGAAGAGGAGGAGGAGGAGGAGGAGGAGGATGGTCACTCCTGCTCTCTCACACAGGAGGGTCGTGTTTGACGCTGTAGTGTTGAAACTGTTGAACCTTTCCAAGTTTTGTGACTTAAAATGATAAATTAAAGTTAAATCCAGGTGGAGATCACCGCATTATGAGAAACCTCTCATTTAAAGTTAAAGTTAATCTTTCTTTCATCATGTTTTCTCTTTGAAGTTCATGAGTTTGATTCCTGCTATGATCCTCAGAATGTAATTTGGAGTGATGGGCGAAAATGGACGAACTAGTATTTTTGAATGAATCTTTTAAGTGTATGGTGTGTACAGGGTCAGCCTGTCTAACACCTGAGTGCTCATTAATCCCTGATGTGCTGTAACAGCGGCAGTGAATGAACAAGTGAGAATCTAGTAAATTAGACCAGTGGTTTCCAATGGGCTGACGGCGTTTCAACCTGACACCATATCATGCTGCCATGACAGGTGCAGTCCGGCCAACCGGCAGCATATCATAACGCTGCATAAGGTTAAGTCCAGCCACGTCACATACTGACACCGCTTGGCTGTGTATCATATCCCTGCGAAAGGTGGCTTTATGCATCAGGTGTCTGACGCCGAAATTGCTGACAAAGCAGTGGTAATTGACGACTTTGCAATGAAATTGGGCTGATCATATCAACCTGAAAGGTTCTGTCTGTCTGTGTTATAAACTGACGCCACCAGCAACATACCACCGCAAAAGGTGGCTTTTGGCATTTGTTTCTGAGGCCAAAATCAATGACAACACAGCGGTATTCGATGACTTTGGAATGAAAATGGCCTGCTCATAAGTGCCTGAAAGGTTTTGTCTGGCCACGTTACAAACCTGCTGGGTGGCATATCGCACTGCCGCCAAAGGTGGCTTTTGACATTGGTGTCTGACACAGAAATTGCTGACAAAGCAGTGGTATTCAACGACGTCGGAATGAGAACAGGCTGATCATAACACCCCGAAAGGTTCTGTCCATCTGCGTTACAAACTGACACTGCCCCCGTGTATCATACCACTGCAAAAGGTGGCTTTTGGCGTTGACTTCTGATGCCAAAATTGCTGACGAAGCAGTGGTATTTGACGACTTTGCAACAAAATTGGGCTGATCATATCAACCTGAAAGGCTTGGTCTGTCTGTGTTATAAACTGACGCCATCGGCAACATACCACTGCAAAAGGTGGCTTTTGGTATTTGTTTCTGACGCCATAATCAATGACAAAGCAGCGTATTCGATGACTTTGGAATGAAAATGGCCTGCTCATAACTGCCCAAAAGGTTTTGTCTGGCCATGTTACAAACCTGCTGGGTGGCATATCGCAAAGGTGGCTTTTGACATTGGTGTCTGACACAGAAATTGCTGACAAAGCAGTGGTATTCAACGACGTCAGAATGAAAACGGGCTGATCATAACACCCCGAAAGGTTCTGTCCATCTACGTTACAAACTGACACCACCCCCCGTGTATCATACCACTGCAAAAGGTGGCTTTTGGCCTTGGCTTCTGACGCCAAAATTAATGACAAAGCAGCGGTATGCGACGACTTTGTAATGAGACGAGGCTGATATTAACACCCGGAATGGTTCTGTCCGTCTGTGTTACAAACTGATGCTGCCACTGGCGTATCATACCACCGCAAAATGTGGCTTTTGGCGTTGGTGTCTGACAAAGTGGTGGCATTTGACGACTTCCAAATGAGAACGGGGTGGTAAAACACATCCTGAGCTTAACTAGCCTATCTACATACAAGCAGGATGTTTATACATGATGACTGATAATGCATTGAAGAGAAGTTTTGTGGGGGCAGGCTGCTCTCGCTGTTGAACGTTTATGTACCGTAACAGAGCTCAAGGTGAAACTGATTTTGTATCTTGCAAAAAGTATCAAAACTCAAAAAGGCTCGATATGTTTGCATGAATCAACTCAAAGGAACCGATACTGTGAAAAGAACGGTCCGCCCATCAGGAGTGATTGGATTAAGCTTTATGGCAACATCTGTGTGTGGACTTTACAGCAATTAAGCAGATGATGAAGGAAAGGTTAGGCTGTCTCCTCAGATCACCCCAGCGCACACCCCTCCTCCTCCTCTCCCTCCCTCCTCTCTCTCAATGCCTCCTCAGTCTGCTGCAGGTCAAAGGTGACTCTGGCGGAATGTCGCGTGTTTTCTCCAGCTCGCAGACGCTATATTTACATGACAGTGTGTAAACGCGGCAGCTTGTTGGACAGACTGGGGCCTTATTCCTCCTTATCTTCTTTATCCGAGTCCAGAGCCGCTTTGCTGTTATGAAAAATGCCCTGAACCCATGAATGATAATGGGGGGGATTACGTAAGGGACTCAGCGTGCGCATTTGGCAGATAGACAAAAAACATCCTGACAGGATAGCAGGAGGGTTTGCTCACAAGGACTTCTTGTTCTTTGACAGAAATCAGCTGAGTTTGGTTGTCTATCAAACTTAGGTTGTTAGGCTGTTAGACTGATGCTTGTAAACTCGCTTTGGAGACGAGCAGTAAACGCGCCTTTACGCATCTCATTATGTTTCTACTGTGCGCACATTTCAGGTGGTAATGATTTATGTAATGGAAACCTGCTGAGCATATCTTTAATTTCTGTATTAACATGCAGGTCTTAGGCACTTATTACGTCCATGAAAATGAGAAAGAATAACTCTGAAGGTGTTCGCTCTTGATATGCATGAGGTGTGAGAGTGATTTGCTAGAAAACCTTGGCGTCTGCTCTGGCAGCTCACCAACAAAATCGTATTCACAAAAGGGAAAAAAAAGCTAAACTGACCTTCTATGGTGGGCTGCAAGGACAGGATCTCACTGCTGCAATAACAGCGACGCCTGTTGGCTTTTACTAGCGACTGGCCTGACTGATGTTCCTGCAAGGCTTTCACTTTAACACCCTGCTCACCTCACCTGGATGGATCTTAAAGCTTAAAGCACAGACGCGTCACTCGCATGTTCAGAACAGTATTTCAAAGTTTATTTTCCCTCAGAATATCGTGATGATTTAAAAAAAATCTGTACAATTACTTATTGCATTCAAATAACTCCATACATCGTTATCAACTTGATACATTGTGGGTCACCGGCCCTCCAACTGCACAGTTTCTGGGGCCATTTTTAAATAGTCAGCGTGCGTAAAGTTCAATAATTACAATTCATATGTACATATCTTTGCTTAATTATTACTTTTATAAAAAATATATAATCTCTCTATGTACAAAACTTGCATATGTTACACATCATGTCCAACAAAATGTCTCAAAGTGATTGACTGGCCATCAAATGTGGCTCTTACAATAAAACAAAAACACACACAAATATTAGGATATAAACTGATATATGCACACTCCCCACAGCAACAAATAACTTCAACAGTTTTCTCATTGTCAATGAATCATAAATTAAAACTTTGAATACACTATACATTTCTTTGAGCTTTAGGTGTGTGCGTGTGTTTTTAGACGTCATCGTTGGGACAGTGTGTTGGGGTGGGGGTGTAGACAGGGATGGTTATATCGCTGATCTCCTGCACCCTCACAGGCCTGGGTGGGGTGACCAGAACGTAGTCGTACTCTCTGTGCAGCACCTTCTCGTACACGCTCTGCAGACCCACTGTTTTGGGGATGTGGGCCTGGTAGTAGTTGTCCCTGCGGTGGGGGTCCCGGGGCAGAGAGGCCGTCTTGGAGAGGCTGCTGAAGGAGGAGAGGGTGGGGGCCGGAGATGGTGCTGCGTTGGCTCTTACTGCTGAGGGGCTCCAGCAGCGATCTGAGTGACCCAGGACCTTACATTCACTGGTGCACGCCCACAGAGCTGTAGATAGAGGAGGGGATAGAGTTAGATTTGGAACCACAGCATGACACTGATTGATATTCTCATATGTGTTAGTCTTACCATTTTGGCCGCCCATTGGAGGAACCACTGCTCCATCTTTCTTCAGCCCAGTGTCCCCACTGACATCACTGTCACTGTCATTGAAGTCACTGTCCCCTTTGCCGCTGTCTTTGCCACTGAAGGCTGGATCCCTGGCAGAGATGGTGGTGTATGAGTTCCCCTTCCAGATGGTGATGGGCCTCACCGCCTCTTTGCCGTTGCCATAGCCAGGCAGAGTGGAGTATCCCTGCAGGAGGAGAGAGGAGAGAAAGAAAACAGAGGTTAGCGTCTGCTGGATGAACTCATCGCAGATTACTCATTGTTGTGCGCCACCCCACGCCTCCCCTCCCCACCCCTCTCGAGCACAAAGGTGCAGCTCACCTCGTGTTTATTCCCTCGAGGCTTGCTGTTGCTGTCTGAGTCATACACACAGGGCACCTCGCTGCCGTCCTCTGAGGCCGAACACATGTCGCTGCCCCCCGGGTGAGCAGAGGTGAACCCGCCGGGCTGGCTGCTGTACGAGTGTCCGTCAAACCCGGCTCCCGCGCCGGCGCCGTGCAGAGGCAGGAGCGGGTTGTCCGCCACGTGGGTCCTGCCCCTCTCCAGCGTGCCCTTCTCCCCGTACGAGTCACTGTCCTCTCCGCTTTTGTCCCGCTTGCGCCGGTTGCAGGTGGTGGCGATGAGGATGATGGCGAGCAGCAGGAGCGTGCAGCTCCCCGCCAGGACAACGATAATCACCACGGACAGGTCCCACTGCGCGTGCACCTCGTCCCCGCTGCCGGACTGGTACACTGTCCTGTCGCTCGGCGGGGAGCCCGCGATGATGAGGAAGTGGAGCGTGGCGGTGGAGGTGAGCGCGGGCCTCCCGTTGTCACTCACCGTCACGGTCACGCTCAGAGTTTCGTCCACGTCGTGGCTGAGCACCTGGTTGAGGTAGATCTCCCCGGTGGCTTTGTTAACGGAGAACACGGAGGGTTCACCGGTGGCCAGCCCGTAGGACAGCTCTGCGTTTACGCCATCGTCCGCATCCCGCGCCTCCACCCGGGTGATGACGTAGCCGGTCG